TTAAAAAAAAATAAAATCTTACAGAATGTTTTAAAATTTATGGGAGAAGCTTATTATTTATCGATTATTTTTATTCGATTATTAAAATTATGAAAATTAAAACGAATTATGGTAACATTAAAACTTTCTACTCTTTGCGCATACTGATCTACACATATATGAATTTAATAATAATGACATGATCATATATTTTCAAATTATATTAACAATTTAAAATAACTGAATATTTGGCACTTGCAAGTTTTTAAATATGTAAATCGTTACATAATAATATATCGTTATTTGTTAGTGGGGTCGGGAGTGAGGTGAGGCAATATTGTTGTTAACATAATGAAGATAAAAATGTATATTGTGTATCCAACGTGATAAATAAACTGGTTATAAAAGTAACATGTTGATCAAAGAGAATATAACGAGACGCGATAATAGAACAATTGTTTAAAATAAATAAAAGTAAAAGATAAAAGCAATCGCTTGAGTCTCTGTTGAGAATGAGGCAAATAGGCAATATTCTCTATTTATTTCCTAGAATATCGTTGAATGAGATATTAAACGTGTTAAAATTAAAATTTAATAAAATATTCAATAGAAAAATACTCTTTTATCTACTTTAATAAAAAGAATATCAAACTTTTACGTAAAAAAAAAAAACTGAATTATAAAATAAGTAAAGGATAATAATAATAATAATAATAATAATAATATCACTATTATTTCTTTTACATATCGAACAATAGGAAACAATAATATTTGAACAAATTTGGTAATAATGACTATTAATTGAACATTTTATTGAAAATATTAAATGTATTCTCGAAATTAATGCAAAATAATTGTTCTTTGAAAACTAATGACATTACAACATTTATTAACGATTTTACATTGTAATTTAAAGTGGACATAAATGCAGTATAAATTAAAAAATTTTACCTTTTAATCGCGTAGAAAATATATTATATTTAAATAATCTGTTTATACATTTGCACGTATCTACATTTATACATAATTATGCACCCATGCACACATCTACGTATATGCATACGCGTATCCCAAACTTTTTCTATTTATTTCCATTTGCTTAATAATTAATTTTAATGAAATGACTTTCCCTCTTACGGAGAAGCCCGAATGTCAAAATATCCCTTAAATCATCCATTAGGGGATTGGACCCTTTGAATTTTGGATTATTTAAATGAAATCTACACGAATACGACGATCGTTCTAAAAAAGCTTATTAAGAAAGAATATTTACGTACAATAATAGGACGTAAAAATGGAAGGCACACACATTTATTTATCATCCAAAAGCCTAACGCGTTCTATCGATCATTATTTTAGGATCCACTTGAAGTAACATTAGCCTGCTCATTCACAGAATACGATACGATACGATACCTGGTCCCCATACATCATAACAAATTATTATATTAAAAATATAATAACAGGACTAACGGACAAGTAATGGATACGCCAGATTCTTAATAATGTCTTTATTTAAAGGCGAAGCCCCTAGGTCGGTAAAGTTGAATATCAACTGAGGAGGAGAGAGAATGAAAAAAGGGTGGTGATTCCGCGGTAAGCCGACGGCACGCCGACTAATATTATCCATCGATATTAAAGTCGAGTCAGCCGATGGCTCTTTTACGCACCGCTGCTGCCTTATCAGGTCATCTGCATTTAAATGAAAATTTCGCGAACCGGCCGTAGTGCCTTACGTAGTGAAGTACGTATATACTACCCGGCAATACGCCCTACAATCCGTTTTTTTTACTTCCTGCGGAATTATTGAGACAAGCCTATGGTATTATTATAATGGGCCCAAGGACATTTTCTAATACCAATGGCTTTGATGAGATTTTTATGAGAATGGTGTATTAACATAGGCGTCGGTGCTAGCAAACAGATTTTAATCATTCGAGGATTTTTATAGCAATTGGATTAACCGCTGTCGATGAAAGTTAGCATATTTTATTAAATTGGTAATAATGTATTTGTTAACACGCTTACGTTGCGAGAAAATATACACATGATTACCAGCATTTTCCTTAACATGAATTAATAATATCTATTTAGTAAAATCTGTGAGATTATTTGTATTTGTTGCTGAATTTTATAAGACTAGTGTCATTTCAAAATGGCGTATGCTCCATTTTTCTTCGTGTTGGCAATCATTGCTATCAATATAATTATTAAAATACTGAAACAGCATTACGAGTAGTATTATTTAATTTTTTTTTTTAACTAATTTTATTTCAACAAAACTAATATCACTATCAATTTTCAATTAATTGTATTGATTTGTTTTATATACTACGATTGGAAAATAGTAAGTTGAATAAGAGATTGGATCATCCTGTCGACACACCACCGTTTCTAATAGTCAAACAAATACTTAAGCAGATGTAAGCATGTAATTGAAATTATACGTCGATCATTTTTACTTTCTGTCCTCCTTCCAATACTCGTACAATTTTTTTTATTATACGGAGCATATTTTTTGCTTCTCGTTGAGTCTTTCGAGTCGTGATGTACAGTTTTCAGAATTTAGTCGCATACTATATGTTAACGATTTATTATTATTATTAATTTTATAAATATATATTTAGAATTTTTACGATTTAATGTAATATATATATATATATATATATATATATATATATATATTCTGGCAATATCATATAATTTAATTATTTACACTTGCATGTAAATTCGATATACTAATATTCATACGCCTTTTATGTAAACAAAAACTTTGCATTAATGGAGTCATTGTACGATCTTGCGGTAACTTTTAAAATTTTAAAAATCTTTTATTCAAATCTCTTAGTCAAATATTATGCTAAATATTGTGCTAAATTTATTTCTTTACTTTAATCAATGTATTGTTTAAATGTACTATTTAGTTAAAAAAGAATAATAAATTATTATAGTATTGTAATATCACTGATTTTAAAATACTATAGTTGATTACGTGAATTTTAGAACATAAGGAAAAATAAGTTCACGAGTATACTTTCATATTTGATAAATTCACTACCATAAATATATGTTTACTGACTTTGTTTTCAAAGTCAATTTATACAGCGGCGAATAGACTTATGATTATTTAATAAGCCCATCATAAACTTATGAAATTTTTTTCCAGACAAATCCACGTATGAGGCAAAGTGCGCGTCATAGATGAAAGTTTACCTACTTTAGTTCCTTCATCTCCGTCTTTCTTCTCTCGCGGACTCTTAAGATTTATTACATCTATTTTATGCGAACTTGGCCATATATGAGATTTAACTCCCAGAAACGAACGGCTTATTTTCTTCTGGATCGAACTGAAAGACTGATTGGGCGATCTTGCTAGGCCGTCCGCGGAGCTTTGACTTTGCTACTTTTTCTTTATGGAGATATGTCGTACCATAAACTTGGCCGAAAGTGAATAAATTCTAGTGTTCAAAATCCAGAGCCTGGAATATATAGTTTTATTAAAAATTCTGTCGTTGAATGAATTTGATGGTTCATTTGAGTTTCTCGTATTAAGAATTTTATCATAATTTCCCACTACACTCAAGAGTGTTAAAAATGCTGAAAATTGTAATTTAAACACTATTGTCATAACCTTTTGATATTCTTTACTTACTACACGCTTTATTTACAATAGAAATATTAATATACATGTGTCTGTGTGTGTGTGTGCGCGCGCGCGCGCGCGTGTGTGTGTAAATGTATTTAAAGTAGCAGTATTATATTATATATGGTATTATATAATGCATTTATAGTATTTCAACAACTGAATTCTCATCATTACAATAAATGATTATTGCAATAGACTTTCCCAGATTTTTACCGAAATAGTTATTATACGAAAATGCGCGTAGTTTCCCATAATCTGAAAAAATTTGCTCAAACTGAAGTAAAATTTTATTAATTAAATTATAAACTAATATGAATACGTATTTTTATTTTTTTTTATACATACTTTTATGAGTGTAAACTATTCGAAAAAAATTATGAGTCTCTATTATTTTTATATTTATAAAATTATACTATCTTTCTATTTTTAAGTTTTAATATTTTTATCTTTATCACTTTGTACTATTTCAACATTTACGAGTTCTATATTCTAATTATCCTGGATAATTTACATTTATCTAAATTATTAATAAGAATGGCTTCGTTAATGTAATTTTTATATGCTCTTAATTTTCAAATTTTTTGTAATTGAAGTCTATTCATTTATGTTGTAAAATTCCGTTGGCAAGGCAATTGTTCATAAGAAACTATTAACATCTAAATAATGCTAAATAATATATATATATATATATATATATATATAATACAGTATATATCAATATCGTATCATAAACCTGATAAAGTTTTTAATAAATATTACGGTTTTTATGCATAAATTTGCACATAAAATTTTATTGACGCTAAATCTTCGATAATACACTTTGATTAAATACAAAAAATGTTTATTTATATTATAAACATTTATTTGGAAAGATTAAACTAAACGAGCAGTTATTTAATGCCTTTATAACGTTTACTGATAAAGCAAATAGCACTGATAGCAGAGTTCCTGAATACCGAAAAAAGCCAATAATATTATTAGCAATTCTCTAGTATTGAAAATAATTTCAAAGTTGCAAATAAAATTCTTTATATTGATATAATTATTTGTAAAAAACATAATTTATTTAATTATTTCATTTATATAAATATTTTTAACAATTATATATTTAATTTCTTTCTCTCTCTAATTTATTATTTGATATTTTTTTTAATTATATCATATTTATTATAATTATTTTTATTTAAATTTCATTTTTTGTATATAATATGTATATAATTTCTATGTTTCTCGTGCAATTTAGGATTATCTTGCTTCAGTCTACAGTATTCTGTAAGTATTAATTCATTTTCACTTTTTCTTAACTCAAACAATGATTTGTCAATAATTGAAGAATTAGTAGCCAGTTTTACAAAATGAATTTCATTTGCCTTAGTTTTACAGTATCAATGTACGAAAGCATTAGTGGGAGAAAATGTTAGGACAGCACCAGCAGAACAATATAGATATGTTGTGTCTATTTCGGAAATTAATCGTTACAATCCACATCCACAACGTGATCACGGATGCACGGGAACGCTTATATCGGTTAAAGATGTATTAACTGCTGAACACTGTATTATACGCAAAGCATGGAATGAAATTCAAATAATTATTGGATCAAATGATATATGGCGTGGTACCAAATTTTTTCCATCTTGGTGGATAACCTACAAAAGATGGATAACAATAAAGAACATTCAACAAGAATTCAAATCAAACGATATTGCTATTATAAGGGCAAGTTATTAAAAAAAATGTATATTTTATGGATAAAATATAATGCCAATTATTTACAGAAATAATATATAATGCAACGATGCTATAATAAATTATATGTGTGTGTGTGTGTGTGTGTGTGTGTGTGTGTGCGCGCGTGTGCGCGTGTGCGCGTGTGTGCGTGTGTGCGCGTGTGCGTGTGCATATATAAATTTTGAAAATATCACCGTCAATAGATATATGTTTAAACTAACAATATATATATATTTTAGTTAACGGAAAGTGTTGAAAGACTCTCGATCGTTCCAATTCCTTTGACAACTATAACCAATAATGCCGAATTTTATGGATTGAATGTTACGATAGTAGGATGGGGTATCTCAAATACTGGCCAAACTGCTTCACTTCTGCAAATGATCACCGTGAATATCTTATCGAACGCTCGGTGTGGTGAGAGAGTCTCAAATTTGGAGAGAAGAACAATTTCCTTTCACGATAGGCTTTTCTGCACTGCTTCCGAACCGTATGGATTGATGCATCGTGTAAGTGTTTTACATTATGTGACATGCGCGGATCAACTTCGTTGAGCGACGGTATAGAATCAATTAATTTAATTTCGATAAATTTTAATAAAAAAAGAAGAAAAAAAAGAAAAATAGGAGAAAAATAAACTGACCGCGGTTATTGGTGGCACGGTAATTTTGCAAAATACAATTATTTACAAAATAGTTAAAATATTATAGTGGAATTTTTGTACAATTTTCCTTCTTATCTAACTTACTTGAAGATAAGCCGCACTTCCTGGTGCGCTCGTGCCCCGTCATTTGATTACGAATCTGCCAGAATAACTTGACGTGCTTACACAAAAGTAGATTGCTCGTGAGAAACGTTAACTATAAAAGTGTATTTAAAATAATTAATAAATCTTTTAACTATAAAACGAGGTTGAGCGATGAATTTTATTGATCAATACGATGTTCTATCAATATTCTGTTACAACATTTAAATTTTATAAATTCAATTATGAGATAATTATCGGTTTAAGGAAAGAGCATTTTAAACGAAGGCGTAATTATGAAATTACATAAAGTATTAATCAACAATTATGTATAATATAAGAATGTATAATGATATCAAGATTTTTACTTCTATCCCTATACATATATACATACAAATATATTTTTATGTGATTTATTTTAGGGTGATAGTGGGGGTCCGCTTATATATATGGGAACATTAATAGCAATTAATAAAGGAAATTGCCCTTTCACACAAATCGTTATTCATCCAGAAAAGGTTAATATTCATTTTGGTATTAACTACTATCGAGGCTACATTGAAGATGTCATAAATAATTTTTAATATTAAAATTATAAGTTTTATGTAATTATTATATATACCAATTATCTGAATTATGAAATATAATTTCATTTTGTAAGTTAATTTTAACGTTTATCATTGCAAAGTTTTTCATCTCCTACATCCTTTGGTATTGAGATTCAGAACCACATTTTTTGAAAAAATGTATTATTTCATAAAAAAGATAAAACTTACTTATTATCTTACAAATATAATTCCGTACTCGATTATTCAACTGAGATTATTATGAAATTTATAATCAATAATTCATACATCGAGTATTAGTTATTTCTATATTTCGAAAGAATTTTTATCTGATACCTTACCTGTAGATCTATATTACACTCGTATATAGGATAATAGTCTATATTATTATTATTATTATATCTATCACAATATAATAAAGTATATTTTAGATAAAATTTTAAATAAATAGAAATTACATTTAAAGAAAAACCCTTATTTATTCTATTTAATAAAATTTTTTTTTAAGTTTGTTCATAATATTGGAAAAATATTTATTTTATAATATTTATTTGTAAATAACTCCAAGTGATACGGATTAAATATTTTAAAATAATATGATTAATGCATATTTATCATTGACCATAAAAAATTGTTTAACATTGGATATTTTATTCACGCATTCCCATCCCTTTGCATTTGTTCTACATGTTCTAATTCTTGCTCTCTCTCTCTCTCCCTCTTCCTCATTCACTTCCTACCCCTTTACGTTAAGGTATTCACAAATTCAGCCTAGACGAATGTATTCGGCGAGATTACGCGAAATGGTTGTAAATGTTCGCTTTATTCTCATAACCAGTGTGCATCGATCCTTTCATCGAACGCGACAGTCCAGCAGAGTGGCAAAAACAAGTGGAGTAGAGAGAAACTGTGAGAGAGAGAGAGAGAGAGAGAGAGAGAGAGAGAGAGAGAGAGAGACAGCGAATCACTATCTAGCATATGCAGTTACAACTCCAGAAAGGTTAATGCACAACGATTGTTGCTGCCAGTCCGGTAGAACTAGCCGCACGATTTTGTAGAGGTCAGAGGGGGGTAAAGGGTAGGGTAGAAACGCCGCAGGGGTGGGTCATTCTCTTGTGCATTTGCACGAGTGACGACATAACACATAAACCTTTTGTGTATGCGTGTAGGTTGCGCGTATACATGCATACGTGCATCAAAGAACACTCGAGCGATTTATCCCTCACCTCAGGTTGATGTAGCTCGTACATTCGCAACCAGCTGCATCCAAAGCCTAATGGCCTCGTTTAGCCATTTTTTAAATTTCCAATTTTTCTCCCTCCCCCTCCCACCATCCCCCTATCCTCTCGGCTCTCACAATCCCTTCCTACCCCATCCTTTCTCTTATTCTTTTCTCGTTGCTCCGTGTCTTTCCCTCTTACTCTTGCTATTATGAAGTTCTATGCATTATAGTCACATTTAAAGTACAGTGAAATAACAAGTTTTCTTTATTTATACCAAATTCATATGTACGACTTCATAAAATTGAAAAATAATATCCATTTTCCAAATAATGTTACATTAATTTTATATATTAATATTGATATGTATGGTAACCGACAATATTATTCGGCGGCGAAATAATAACAAATTTGATCATATTTCCATTGACTATTTGATTCAGCTTGTAACATTGGTAGTGTTTCGTTGACTTTGGCAATTTATTTTTTCATATTTCAGCAATATAATATGAAACGATAATGTTAATCAATAATCGAAGTCATATTTTAAAATACAATTTTTAAAAATTAGTATTATTTATTTATTATCAATTAACAAAATTAATTAATTATGCACAAAAATATTTTTTTATACTACACGTATTATTTAAATGTTTAATTACAATTCAAGTTCAAATGTCATCATAAATAGCATATAATGATAATTCTCATCGTGTAAACTATCACAAATTAAGCAAATACAGGATCGATAAGATAATTTCAAGCTTTATACATGTCTCGACTGTCTTAATAGCAATGAGAAGTTATTAAGAAAAAAAATTTTATAAATTTGAGATTGATTAGTTATGGAGGTAGGTAGCTCTTCGATGGCATCTCTTTGCTTCTTTTTCGAGTCTTTTGCGTTCGATAGTGAGTGAAAGAGTATATATTATCGAGATTAAAGCTTCTTTGAGGAAGAAAAGAATGCGAAATTTCTCCTTTAGCCCATTAGCCGGATTCTGCGGGTGTTCGATTCGATCACAAAGAACGAGTAGAGCGAGAGACCGAGGAAGCGAGCCTAAGTTCAATCACATCACCAATGGGATTTCTCCTCTCTTGTACTCGATGAACCGAAAGTTCTCAGGGGTTCTGAAATCGACAAATAAGGGCGCTATCTTCGACAAAATTACGCGGGGTGTTGCAGTCGAGCCTCATTCATTTTGTTTAAGGCGAACTTCCTATCTCTGTCCCTTTTATATTCTTAAGATAGATTTGTTACCGCCTTAATGAAACCTTACATCTTTATTTATAGCGCATATGAACTAATACTGGTATTAAACATCATTTTAACTAGTTATAATACAAATAAGTGAATTTAATAAAACGAATTCTCCATTATTATTTTGATATTTATTCAAATCGAGTATAGGTTGTTGTTACGGGGGAAGATAAAGATAATTAACTAATGTCGATATCCATGATATAATAATATGTAAAATTTTAACATACAGATTTATAATAACAAATTAGCTTAATCGATATTATAATATTTGCTATAGTTATTTTATATTAAACTTGTTATGATGTACCCGATCATCATGACACATACTTCATTTCTAATTATTCTCAATAATTAAATATCATTAAAGAGCGCCAATGAATATTAGTGCATAAAGATTATTATGCGCTATAAAGATAAAGGTTTATCGAGGAAGACTTGTGATGTAGAAAAGGTACAGAAATTGACTTAATTGCCAATCTAAATCAGAGTCTTTTGTTTTTTGTTTGTGGCCGTTTTTGTGTTTGCTAATCGCACAGCCGTTTCTCCAAATCGAAACCTTGAAGGTCACCTACGTGACAATACTTATAATCTTAACAATCATATAAATAATAATTTTGTTATTCAAAGCTATTCGTACGTAAGATATATATATATATATATATATATATATATATATATATACATATATATACAATCTAATTTTTGCTTAAATTTTCCTAAGAATTTTTTATATTCTATGATGTTACGGATGTCGTTAGTTAAGAAATATCATAGATATTGCAGAAATCAAAAACTTCAAATATTCTATGACCATGTAAGATAATTTTGGAGAGATATTCATAAATATTATCGTTGATCCATTATTGAGAATGTAATAAAACTTTGTAAAATAAAACTGGGATATGGAATTAGCGAGGATGCTAAGTGTGAAATAAAATATTAACGAACAAAATTTTTGTAATAGTTAATTTCATTTCATCGTTAAATTTCATACTCCAAACTTTTTCCTTTATATTATTCTATTAATCCGTTGTTTTATAATCTATAATTATAGAATTTTAAAAAGAAAAAAAAAAAAAAAAACAAGAAATTTATTATTCGTATTTCATGTATGTCAATTTTTCATATATTTTAAATATAAATTTTTTTTTTTTAATTCATGGATATTGATGCTAAACATCCTTATTGAAAATAGATTATATAAAGAAGGGAATAAATATGAAAAATCCACGTAACGTTTCATTTTTTATTTGTTCGCAATATTACTATGATTATAAGCAAAAATTTTGTAAAAGTTCAAATAATTGACATAAACAAATAGTCAATAAAGAAAATACAGTACTTTTTAACGATAATTACAAAAGTCCAAAATTGACTTTTGATGAATAATTTTTTATTACTTCGTTGTAATTTTATTCAAGAATAAATTCATTCATTTTCACAAATGCGCATTTGCGAATATAAAATCACTTCCAGATAAAATTAAACTTTCGACTATTAAGTTGAAGTACTTATATACTATAAATGTGGATCATTGTGGCTGAGAGCCAAATGTTGGCTGACTAACCAGTCGGGTGTGATTTATGTTTTTATACGGTAATAATATTGTAGTTGAGCCTCTATTTAATCGAAAAACTGCGCAAAATGAGTATAAGATTTGCAGCATAGAGATACGACTCTCTACTACGTCTGATTACATTTAAATATTCTTTAATTGTGACACGTATTTTTTCATTTCATTTCTGACAGTTGAAAAAATTTTCAGATAATGAAATTTTACTAATGACTTTTTGTGTATAGACATATTTATTCTTATTTCAAAATTTCTTGATTTACTAAAATTTAATAGAAAAAGTAATATACTCTATTATATACGTTTGCGAATGTTGCGCGTACAACACACGCGTACAAGCACACACACAGACACACACACACACACACACACACACACACACAAACACACTCGCTCGCTCGCTAGCGCGTGGATAATGATATAAGTAATTATATTATTAGAGCTGTGAATACATAGTCAGTTACAATCCTATCTGCAGGGCCAAGCATCGCGTTCGTTCGTTTGTTCTCTGGAGGCTTCAACATTTCCTTCTATTGCTCCCACCCCCTCTCGCTCTCTCTCTCTCTCTCTATCTCTCTCCCTCTCTTTCTCTCTGTCTGTTTGTCTTTCTTACGCTCAGAATAGAAACTAGCAAATGAGACAAGGGTTAAGAATAAATGGAGAGTGTGAGAGTGCGAGAGAGAGAGAGAGAGAGAGAGAGAGAGAGAGAAAAGTGAGAGATAAAGAGGAACAATGATCCAGCTTAAATTAAGGCTGGTTTCGCAAGAATTGCGAAGGAAATTCCCGTCGAAAACTTCTGTCCTACCTCGATTGCCCGAAGTAAAAAGGGGGCCTGTTTTTCCTGCTGATTACTTTCATAGCAGCCGTAGTCGATGTATACTTTCTCTAGTTTAGAATCGTTCACGAAGAGTAGATTCGGATGATGAAGTTCTTTAGTTTGCAACTTATTTCGGTTGAGTTCAAT